CCTCAAAGGGTGTTTGATCCCTCAGTGCTCTTGTGAAAAGCCTGTTTTGCAAAAAAACAGCAGTGTTTGCTGCTTCGGCCCAAAACTGCTTTGGTAGGTTCTTCTCATGTAGCATACATCGTGTCATCTCTAATATGAACCTGTTCCGTCTCTCAATTCTAAAATTTATCTCACTTTTTCACTTTCTTTTATTACGTATATCAAGTTTAGATCTCAAATATTAAATAAAATGAAAAAATAATCTCATCCATTGGATTTTTTTATTATTATTTGTTAAGTGTGTTGTTAATTAGAAAAGAAAATATCTTTAGAGAGACGTGTTTAACTAACAAAGGACTTAATCATCTTCATTAATTGCAGAAACATTACAATTTATAATTTGATAAACAACAACTAACTAAAGTCATGGCCTTTAACGTGCCACGGTTACAAACGTGCATGACAGAAAAATCAGCAACTTCCTAAAAACTAGGTAGACTACTTTGAATCATTCAAATGTAAAACAAACTTTGACAATGTGGTTGAACCACTTATGCATCGTGGCAGCACTCTAAAACACATGTCTAACACTCCTCCTTGTTTAGATGATGCACATTCCAAGTGTCATTCTCAGGAACTCGAACTTGCTAGCTGGTAAAGGTTTAGTAAAAACATAAGCTATTTGCTCTTCTGTTTTGCAATAAACAAGAGTTACAACACCATTCTTCTGCACTTCCCTCAAGAAAAACAGCTTGATGTTGAAATGTTTAGTTTTCCCGTGAAAAATTGGATTATGAGAAATAGCTATTGCAACTTGATTATCAACAAATATCTTAGTGTCTTCTTTCTGCTCAAGATGAAGATCACTCAATATCTTCCTCAGCCACAAAGCTTGATTTACAGTAGCAGTTGCGGCAACAAACTCTGCTTCAGCAGTAGATTGAGCTATTGTTTCTTGTTTTTTCGAACTCCATGAAAAAACTCCTGATCCAAAACTAAAGCAGTACCCTGAGGTACTTTTCATGTCATCAATAGATCCTGCCCAGTCACTATCAGAGAAACCAAACAACTTGAACTCCTTGCTTTTCTTGAACTTGATGCCAAAGTTGATTATGCCTTTGATGTATCTAACCACCCTCTTAGCAGCCTTCAAGTGTATTTCACTTGCACAGTGCATGAACCGAGATAAAATACTCACAGCAATCAAAATGTCAGGTCTTGTTGCTGTAAGATACATCCTTCTGCGCTTTGATCTGTGCCATGGTGGGATTGTTTGGAAGTGCAGGGATTTCATAGTCTTCTTCCACTGCTTCCCAAATATCCAAAGCATCCAAGTATGTCTCCATGCGTATTGCCCAAATCTGGTAGTTGTCTCCATCAAACACCGGTGGAGCAATGGATGAGAAACTAGCTTCGACTTCCATGACTCGTCAAACTCACACAGATCCCTTAAGAAAAGAGCTCTGATACCAATTGTTGTTAATTAGAAAAGAAAATATCTTTAGAGAGACGTGTTTGACTAGCAAATGACTGAATCATCTTCATTAATTGCATAAACATTACAATTTATAATTTGATAAACAACAACTAACTAAATTCATGGCCCTTAACGTGCCATGGTTACAAACGTGCATGACAGAAAAATCAGCAACTTCCTAAAAACTAAGTAGACTACTTTGAATGAACCACTTCTGCATCGTGACAACACTCTAAAATACATGTCTAACATAGTGATAGCTCACATATTTTTTTAACGACTGTGTTATTTTTTTCCCCTCATCATTAAATGGCGGAGAAAATAATGCATGTACATCCTAAATTTAGGATGTATGGTGGTTTTATTACAATATGACGAGCCTGAGTTGTCTTAAGTTATGACTTGCACGTAATATTTCTAAAATGTTTATGCTAGGACCTTGTTCATAAAAATAAGTATATATATATATATATATATATGCACACGTATATATATATATATATGTGTATTTATGTCCTTCCAATGCTTTCTCTTGTGTCTATTGAAATTCAAAGGTTAGTTTATCTCCATGCTAACCAACAAGAGAAGAGGGAAGAAAAAAATGAGAAATAAGGGGGACGGGAGGTGCAGATACGTCATTTTCAAAAATGCTATCAATTTTGTATGAAATATAAATAGCATCTTTTTTTTTTTTCCTTCTTCTTTTCCAACTAAATGAAAAGTAGTTATCTTCCCTCTAATGATTTGGCTTTTTGTGCCAAGTTGAAGTTTACAATTATTGTAACTGAGAGAACATTAGTAATCAGCAACGAATTTTCTAAGGAGTTAGTTTTGCGTTCAGACTTCCCTAAGGGGGTTCTTTCTAGAAGAAGTTAGTTTTGCGTTCAGACTCCCTAAGGGGGTTCTTTCTAGAAGAAGTGGTACCTGCCAAAAAAAAAATATGAAAATAAGACACCCTATTAAAAGTGTATGTTTCTATACATTAATTGTGATTAGTCTATATAAAACTGATGCAAGAATATGTAAACCTAATAAATCTGATACAAATTAACAGTTGAAAATAGAACTCCATCAATAAAAGTGCATGTTTCTAGATATATATTAAATGTGATTAGTATTGCATGAGACTAACAAAAAAAAATGTATAAGTAACAAACTTGATACAATGGGTATTTTTTTTCTCCTACCTTATTGTAAAACTCCCATTCTTTCTAGCTTTGCGAGGAGTCCGAATCACATACATTCAAAAACGAATCCAGAAGAGTCAATTTTCAATATAAATATTGTCACATACTCGCATACATTCCTACTAATTCAAGACTAGACGTGACTGTTCATTTATTTGAATAGAAATTGATAGTTCCTAGTAGAAATTTAGAATTTAACGATCGTTAATAACTAAAATTGTCGTCTAATCACGAGTCGTTAAATGCTGTGGTATACAACAGCGGTTTTTATCCGTCACTAAAAATTACATTAGATAACGTTTTTCTTAGTAAACTGTCGTCTAATCTCGACAATAATAGACTTGGCGCGTATTTTAGACGATGGTTTTATAAAAAATCATCGTCTAATGTTGAGATTTAATGACGGTTTTCTGAAAGAAAAAAAACCGTCGTTATATGTTCTTCCCAAATAAAAAAAAAATTGAGCTGTTTTTTTGTTGTCTCATGGGTTGGCTTATTAATCCCGTATTTTTTTTTTTTACTTTTTGGTCATAATTCACATAACCATTATAACCGCAAAACAAAATATTAAAGTTATAAACAAAAATGAATTATAAATATTAAATAATACATCAATAAATGTAGTTTATGTTTAATATTACAACAACAAATTAATTAAATGCTCCTATAAATTACAACAACATATTGTTTATCATTTTTTTTCTCTTTCTATTATTTTAGACACATGTCCATTCAACATTTAAGCGGATAAGGTTTGAATAATCATCATCAAAAACATCGGCACACCTTTTCTCCCGTTTGTGGTTTCTTACCTTTCTTGCATCTAGACTCGTGGCACATCGGACACTTATTCAAGTCTTCACATTCTTTTTGATATAACACACGATGATTTGAATACGTATGTATTTTCTCATATTCCATCCCCATAAAGCTCAACGTCTTCTTAGTATCGTACATAGAACTTGACACTTGATTATTATCCGGAAGTGCATCTTTTAGAAATTCTAAAAGTCTTGTGAAACTTGAATTTGACCACCCAGCTAACGCCTTCAAGTTCCACAATCTAATTAATCTGGACAATTTAGTATACTTCTTACACCCACTATACCATAGTGTCTCCGCATCATCCATCATCTTCTCAAATAACTCCGGCCGGTGCACAAATTCTTCCTCCATATCATTAATTACATCAACCATGTTACTTCCATCATCTTCATGATCAATATCAACATTATTCCTCTCAATTCTCCTAACCGCCGAAGATGAACTTAGAACCTCCTCACTGTGCTATATCCCTGTTTGATAAGTCTGATCAATACCAAACTATTACTTCTTAAATAAGTTGGGGACCATTTTTACCAATAACTCTTTGTTAAATGATAGATTTGAGTTTGTTATTCCTTTTGTTATAGTAGACTTGGCACAATGACGCCCAGCTTGTTTATGACCATCAATCAAACAAATAAGAAAATGATATATCCTAGCACAAGCACCGACACCCCTAAAGCCAATGATTCTAAACACGCCTTTAAAGAATGAACCAAATTGAAAACAATAACCAATTGGAATTTCCCAATTGTCATGCAACAAATGTAAATTTAGTGTCATTAATGAGTTGGTAATGTGTTTTTTTTTTTTTTTTTTTTTTCTCTTATGATGCATTCAGAGTTAAGGTAGCTTACAACTCATTTTAATTTAAATGTGTGGTGACATGAGTAAAACCTCAGCTAATAGTTCAGATAAAATTGACTGGGACTCTTTTCATTTCACATGTAAGCCTGAGATTTTCAAAATGACTAAAAGGATGAGAGGCATGATGCACTAATAATCGTTTTTTCTAAGGAAAAAAGAGTAAGAACATTATTGCCCATCTATGATGAGAAAGAGTGTTTTAGGTCAAATTAAAATTATATCCCATAGGATTCCAAGATTTAGTAATGAACACTAATGAAAAAGCATACAATCAAACTTGCAGGCAACAATCAATGTTAAATAATGGAAACATAAACTCAAATTAGTGTTGTGTTTTTTGTTATCAACAAAGGTAAATTCTCTTTCAGCCAAAAAAATTTCAATTTTTCCCTTTTCGTTTTGAATTGAATGTACGAAGAATCTTTTGGACAAACATTAGTCATGAGCATAGAAAACGTAACACGTAAGAGTGAGTTTTTAATGATTATATTTTTATAGGTGGTTATTAAATTTGATAACGTAAATGTGATAAAAATATAATTTTATTAATAGTTATATATTTTTTAATTAATTATTATATAAATATTAGAGTAATTATTAAAATTATATTAATTATATATATATATATATCGTGCACGCCGAACACTTTCGTCTCCTTCCTCACAAAAATTTTCCCATTTGCCAAACAGAAGCCGTAAAATCCTCTAACCCCACGGCGAAAAGAGCACACGATATCGAATTCGAGTGAAAATCCAAAATCACACACCACCGACATTCCCGTTACTCTCTGATTTAGGTGAACAAACCTTTTCAAAAAGCTTCAATTCCGCTCAACTTCCACAGTCCCACCCACCAACCCTAATCACTCCTCCCACCCCTTTATATACTACAATCTGCCGCCAATTCCTAAATCCTAGCACTCAAAAATGGCGAGCAAGGACGAGCGCGCGGGAGCGGAGATCGTGCACGGCGCGGAGGAGTGTTACCGGAAGTCGGCGGAGCTTCTGGAGGAGCTGGGGTTCCCGACGGGGGTTCTGCCATTGAAGGACCTGGAGGAGTGCGGGAGGGTGAGGGAGACGGGGTTCGTGTGGATGAAGCAGAGGGCGCCGTACGAGCACTACTTCGAGAAGTCGAAGACGCGTGTGAGTTACGCGACGGAGGTGACGGCGTACGTGGAGAGGCGACGGATGAAGAGGATGACGGGGGTGAAGAGCAAGCAGGTGTTCCTTTGGGTCCCGATATCGGAGATGAGCATCGAGGATCCCGCCGGGAAGAGGATCACGTTCAGGACGCCCATGGGGATCGGGAAGTCGTTTCCGGTGACGGCGTTTATGACGGCGGAGGAGGAGGAGAAGTACTTGGAGGAGAAGAAGAAGAAGGAGGAAGAGGAGAAGGAGAAGGAGAAGGAGGAGGCAAACGACAATACTGAATCAAAGAATTGAAATGGAGGTGCTTTGTATGTGTGTGTGCGCGCGCGCGCGCGCGTCTCTGTGTATGTGTTTGGATTGGTCATTGGATCGTTCATTGCTTATGAATAAATGGAATTTTTATGAATAAATGGAATTTTTATAAATGTACATCTATGGAGATTGTTGGTTTTAAGTTTATTGGATTGATGTGTTTTTCAAAACATTGGTCTATTTGAAATTCAGTATTGGGGTAAATTGGAGTTCATTGGTTGTGGTTGGAGGGATAAACTTGAGAAGTGAGAACCCAAATAGTTCAAGCGATAGATTAAATCTGATGTCATGTTCGATAAATATTGTCGTTTGTAAAAAATGATTGTCGTTTCTTAGAGATGTCGTATAAAATACTTGTGGTCGTTTTCGAAATGCACAACTTCAAACATATATTTACCTTGAAGTTGTTGCTTTTTTTTTTTTTTTCTTTTTTTTGAAGGAGAAGTTGTTGCCTTTTGTTTATACATGACTGTGGGTCTTAAAAATAGATGCGTCGTTTCTAAGAAATCGTATGGTTTATGCGATTAATGTCGTTCTGGGGAAAACTCTTTTTAGGTAACAATTGTCGTTTGTCTTTGTTGTGGTTGTTTTCAAGAGTTATTGTCGTTTATTGTTTTCTCTTATTTCTAGGAGACGTCGTCCGACAGTGTTATTTTGGAGGCACTATCGTTTATACATTATTATTGTTCGTATCAGGCTCTAATTTGTAAGAGATATTGATGTTTCGAAGTTAACGTCGTTTACAGTTTAATTTTGATGAGGAAAATTGTCGTTTGTCATACTTGGGTCGGTTCCAAGAGGCAAGAGACATTAGCTTTTTGTTCTTAGCTTTCGTTTTCAACTATGAGTCATCGAACGCTGTTATTTTGAATTGGCTGTTGCAATTATAGTATTTGGTTCTTATGATAGATTTTGCCGTTTCCAAACCTACTGTCGTTCGTCCTTTATAGTTTATGTGTTAGCATTGTTCTTGTAAGCCGTTTGTAAGAGACATTGACGTTTCTGAAATAGCGTCGTTTGTATAGATTGTTGCGACAATGAAGTTAAGGACGTGGTCGTGACATTGAAACTATAACGTTGGCTTTGTTATGTTATAGTTGTTTATTAGAATAGTTGTCGTTTGCTTGGGATGTATTCAAATGTAATAATCGTTTTTTCATTTATTTGTTCATATCTTATTGTCATCCACAAGAAACGCTGTCGTTTTCCTAAAATTGTCTTGTTCTCGTAGATTGTCTATTTTGAAAGCGTTCTCCTTTTCTTTTCCCCAAACTATAGTCTAATTTGGTCGTTCATAAGAATAATTGTCGTTATTTGATTCATATGTTGCCGTTTCCGTGATATTAGGTATTTATTATTTTATTACTCTCTAATCTCTTGCTGTGTTAAAATTCACGTCGTGTTCTCGTTCATGTAGATTACGTGTCGTTTTCCTTAAACTACGCGTTTAATTTCTCAAAAACCGAAATGTCGTTTGCCCTCCCAAAATCTAACAAGTTGATAGTTTGGTAGTGTTGGCAATCTGAGTAGCAACACGATAACACGATTTGAAACCCGCATAAAGTTAGTGGGTTTGAGTTTATTATAAATGAATTTGAGTCATAATCAGATTGACATGATTAACACGATTAATAAATGGATTGGGTTAGGATTGACCTCCTAAGACGAATTGACACGATTAATTATATGTGTTATCTGCGATCTAATGATATGTGATATAACATAAAAGTTTATATGATATATTAAATACAAATAAGGTGAATTTTAATATTTGTGGGTAAAATTCATTTATTTTTCTTAAAGAAAAAGATAAGTTGACTACTAAATATGTTAAACCTGTTTTGACATTGTTAAATAAATTATTATTATATTAATTATTTATCTAATATATTAATTTAAATAGATTATATGGGTTAACATGATTAACACGATTAATAAAACAAATAACAAACAAAAAACCAGTTTGATTATTCAAGCCCAAAAAAAAAAAAAAAGAGTTTGATTAGTGCAAAACTTATGCAGGAGTTGTTCTTGGTCAGAGACTATATGTGGTTTGAATTTTATAGCTGCTTAGCAAGTTGTGGTTTTAGTTTTCCTTAGTTGTCTCACGTCGTTTTGTTTTTATTTACTGTCGTTGGGCATGTGCTTTAAAAGAAAAAAAAAATCGGCGACTAATAATTTCTATCGGATTGTTACCGGTAGTAGGAAGGCTTTAATTTTTTTTTCTTTTAAGGCACGTGCCCAACGACAGTAAATAAAAACAAAACGACGTGAGACAACTAAGGAAAACTGAAACCACAACTTGCTAAGCAGCTATAAAATTCAAACCACATATAGTCTGTGACCAAGAACAACTCCTGCATAAGTTTTGCACTAATCAAACTCTTTTTTTCTTTTTTTTTTTTTTGGGCTTGAATAATCAAACTGGTTTTTTGTTTGTTATTTGTTCAGTCAATGTTGTAAATTTATGACATACCACAAAAGAAGATGATAGTCGTTTAATACAAATTAAAAACGACAACAAACTTCTCCACATATATGTATACAAATTTATAATTTGTATCGTTAGTCTAAGATTTAATTTCTATTTTTTTTCCACGCACTTTCGTGCACCCCTATCTTTCACGACCCGCTGCTTAGCTACTAGCTTAAGCCGGTGGAAGGCTGCGACGCGAACATACATACATAACATATTAACTTAAAGATTATATACTTAAGGATAAATCAAAGATTTGAGTTAGTTATTTACCTAATCATAAAAATGCAGGAAATTTTGATCCTTTAAAGTGTTTACAAAACCATATTTATAATGTGCATGCGGAAATTTCATGAAATTTTTTTTAATTCATACGAGGTTCATATTGAGCCATATGACCGTTTTCTAAAAGATTTAATAAAGTTGACCATCAATATCTACGAAAGTTTAGAAGTAAGGTTCTAAAAATAACATAGTCACAACATCATAAAAGAAACTTAAAGTTTGTTTCTTCAAAAGTTAAAATACAAAAGTTGGTCATAATTGGTCGTATTCCACATGTACCAGCACCTCGATCTGTTTTCTCGCTCACTCCTCTTTAACTATAGAGTTGCCTGCAACACAAGGAAATCCTAGTGAGATAGAGGGCTCAGTAAGCGAGTAGACTTACTACTCTAAATATGATTGAATGCACACAATGTAAAGGTTTCCTCAAACTCATTAATCCATAAAAACACTATGTATATAAGTCGTTTAGTAGTCATAATCTCATAAGCAGCCATGGTCATATTCTCATTTTTTTTGTCCACCCTTTTATCGTATCCTTACTTTCGAGCTATTGTTACTCTCATCTAATCAATTGTGCACTCCCATAAGTACACACTCGTACAAAAGTCAAAACAAATAATAGATAAAAAAAAGTACAAAATTACTAAGTTATCCTAACGAGTTTGACATACCTATAATTTGTCTCCTCGTTCAGCGATCAAAACAATCAAAATAATAAGAGAATGAAAACAATAACACGAAGCACACATTAATCACACACTCCCATTTAACTTGATCATAATTAAAACATTTTGCATAACTCATAGCATATCAATTCATGAACTATTCATTTTATAAATATCATATCATATTACCATATCAACATGTCATACCTAGGTGCATAATTCATTACATAATCAATGATCTAACCTTTAATGTGCACATATTATCTATTCGGCCTGTAGGACTGCCTTATTGTTGCATAATTCCGCAAGTACACGGACCGTTCAAGTAATAAAGTATACTGGAGTACAGATATCGTTTCCAACAAAGATTGATTCACCAATTATATAGTGCAGAAATCACACCAAAAACCAAATTTAGTAAGGAAATTAACTACTAAAAACTCACTAAGCAATATAAAGAACAAGATACACTATAAATGTAAGGAAAATGGTAACAAGAGATAAGAATGCAACTATGGATTGTAATCAGTGACTTAAGTAAGCTACGATTACTAATTTCTCCTTAGTTGTAAGTCTGATAGAAAATATTATGGAATGCTACATAAAAAATTACCCCTATTAACCGAAACTTAGTCTACGTAAAATTTTTCTGAATTATTTTGATTAAAAATTCTTCAAATCATTTCCAGCATATTCCTATGTGAATCTAGTTATCAGAATGCAATTTTCAACACATGTTTCACTGGGTTATACAAGATGAACAATATATTCTTATACCATTCACAAATCAATAAACTCAATCAAGAGTATTGAACTTGCATCATCCATGTTAGATCCAACTAAAATCAACATTTCTAGTATTAATCTTAGCCTAGTATCCTATACTTGATGGCCGGTCAAAATAAAAATAATCAATCAACTCACATGGATGAACATGAATAAATCAGTAAACATTCCATAAGCAAACTATCTTTCTTACAACTTTGGTTTCATTAACAATCCTAGCTAAGAACAACTTAGCTCATGGCTGAATTTACAAAAATCAAATTCTCAGTATATTCCATTGTTCAACAAAGATCACAATTCAAAAGAAACAAAAGAAATTGAAGACAACAGAGAGATAGAAGAAATTTTTGTTGATTTGGAGCTTAAATCTCTTGTTTCATCTTTTCTTCGTCGGGAAGCCTTCAAGCAGCAGCTTCCTCTGCTCTCTATTTTCTTTTTCTATTTTCTTTTATGGTTCTTGCTTCCTTCCCCTTGGCAGCGTTTTTTCTTCTAAAGGATGTATTGTGCCCTTCTTTAGGGCACCAAGTAAGGACACTAATGTGTCACCAGGTGATTGGTTTGGGCAGAAAATGACATGTGCACACCACTCACCCTTGTGCACTTTATTTTTTTCTCTTGCAATATCATGCGCTGATATCATCCACTAAGCTGTCCGTTGCCCAATTTTATTGCAGCAAAATGTTGCAACATTTTCTTCACAATTCCTGCAATTCACACCAACGCACCATAGAACACAACTCAGCTCTTTTTGATTTAATTTTCTTCAAAATCACCTCAAAAATAACACATTACAAATCTTAGCAGAGTACATCACAAGAAACAAAAGTTGAACATATAATATAGAAAAATAAACAACTATGCCTTTGGATTAGCCAACTTTAAACCTAGAAATGCCTAAGATAACTCCAATTCTTAGAGTTATCACTTATGCCGGCTAATGCTCAATCGTGTGGCTGTCCTAGACTCTAGGGCAATGGATCTAAGGAATCGCACACACGTACCATTAATAAATCGAACTTGGCTTTTAGGAGTGTACCACTAACCAAATGTGGCTTGCCTATCTCATTGGAGTTATAATCCATTGACATTCACATAAACAGTAACATGGGTATTTATGGGGCTTTATCCCTTCTTACCCGGCCAAGGTTCAGGAAATTTGGCACCATGACCTAATCATAGATCCAATAGCCACTTAGGCCGCCCACCTACTACCCGGGAACTAAAGAGCGACATTGCATTTCTTATTATATATAAAATCTTATGATCCCTTGAGGGACTTGAAATTCCCACCCTAACTTACAACCTAGCATGTCACAAAATGCCATTGTACAATTATGATGTCATGTTATAGTCTCTAAGTTCTCATATGAAAAGTAAATTAACATGTCACATAGATTCCATATTATTCCAAGAGTTACTTATCTCGTTCTCATAATAAAACCGATGATCGCTAAATGTCAAATCACGTGTATTAGAATAAAAGCAAGCCCCAATTAACCTTACTATCTTCAAAACTTAAACATACTATCTCAACATATTGAGCGAGAACATACCATATACTATTATAAGGATTTCGGAGCACAACACGCTTCCATAAATTATATTAAGGTTCATACCATCATAATATTATGGACATGCAAAATCATAAGGTAAATACATATCACTTGCATTACAGGTGCATACTTCACTTACCTTAAATGTTAGGTTCCCAAATGTAAGCTCCTCCTTGATTCGTTTAGTTCACAACCGTGGATTAAGCGTTCACCTATTTTTAACAAACATTTTCCCGTTAATTGGAGCATCACAAATTCTCTTAAGAGTACTACATCACTCTCGACTTATTAACGAATTTCTAAGAGTAGAAAATCTTGTTATTTTATTTTATATGTCCTGATCGGAGACTTAGCGTGAACATGGTTTAGGTGAAAAAAAAAAAACTACTCTTATGGGGTTAATAATTTTGTCCCTAACCTAACAAAAGATATCAACATCTCACAAATAATACGATCTTCTAATTCCTAGGAAATTTGTCGACAAGATATTTATAAATTTAACAATTTTCCTCTTTTCACATGACTTTCACATCAAAACAATTCACTGCATTCATATTTAAAAAAAAAAAGGTTCGTCGACACTTACAGAAAAATTCATAAAATATTCTATAGGAATTGAAAAATTACGATTCTTATGTGTTAACATTTAGAGTTTCGTTTTGATATATCACAAGACCTATTTCAATTCTGTTAAGCCCAATAAAAGCATTTTAAAACGTGACTGAAAAATTTTCATTCTCTGCTGAAATTTTCAAAAATTTTGACACAATTAAAAAGTTCATAACTTTGTCTACGGTTCTCCATTTTCAATGATCCGCATATCAAATTGAAGCTCAAAACCTCTAGTTTAAGGTTCAAAAACCTTTTATTGCAAAAATACTCTCAAAAGCTACAGTTTTATGTTTTAACTAATGCAGCCCAAAAAAAATCCCTCTTTTTTTTTGCGCAACTAACACATGACATGCAAACTTAAAAAGAAAAGACTAGAAAATTAATTTTTCTAAAGATCTTCGTCGCATGATCATCTTAACCATCTCAAGCTATAAAACCTCATAAAACTCAGTCCAAATCTCAATCTTAAGAAGACTATAAAAATTTGTCTCAACATAGCAACTTTTTCAAACGGACAGATTTGACATCTTTTACGAGAAAATTCATAATAAATAGTAAGAAATTCAAAAAATTACAAAACTACCGCCAAATGAAAGTAGATTCATATATATTGCTTTAGAGCTATTACATGTCAAGTTTTAAATTTATCAAACTCATCAAATCAAATTCATACTAATTCTACAAAAATCATTTTAAGGTGATTCTTGAACCCAATTAAAGTTTAGGATGTCTATTTTTGAGAAAAAATAATGGTTGAGACAAAATAGTATGAAAAACATCCCGAAAAATTAAAAATCTGAAACTAGCCGAAGGAATTAGTACATGTTTATTTCAGCAAACACTTAAATCAACATCCCTTTAATAGTTTGGCAAACTCGAATCAACAAAACTCAATCTAAAATCACTGGAATACACATTTAATCACAGTAATGGAAACACAAAATGGTTTGAGAGGCTCACCCTTAAAGATCAATCAAAAGTTTGGGTTGCTAGAAGCTCAACTTGAAACTTTAAAGACAATGATATGGCTGGTCATATGTGGATGATTTTGACGAATAGAGTATGGTAGAATGGTAGAGAATAGAGTGAGAGAGATGAAAGAGAGCAAAGGAACTCTGAAATCAGATGGAGTATGATATTAATCGATAGCCCCTTTCCCTTTCTTTTTCTTTTTTAATGAAATTTTAGTGTGGCCAATTTTTTATTGGTGGTATTGGGTGGTGACTAAAAATTACCCAATCAGAAACTTTCTCAAAACCTATCAGCTTTCAAAAAGCGGCCAAACTATTTCTAAAATTCATATTTTTGGTCACCTTATTTTTAAAAATAAAATTTTCGTTACTGAACTTTGGTAAAATCACAGGATTGGCCTCGGAATAGAATTTTACGAAAGTTACCTTCTTGACTAATTTTGACGCTTCGATCAAGATTATGGCGTTAAAAATTCCATTCAGAATTTAATTTAATGAGTTTTGCTCCAATTATTTAACTATCACGAGAGTATGTACGTGAATGACACACAAAAATCTCACTCAAGTTATCATAAAAATCACATACCACACAAAAACTATTGAATTACCAAAAAGCTAATTATAGAAATTAATGAGTAAGGGTATAGAGCCTTACACTATCAAAACTTTATTATGTTTTCTTTTATGTTTGTTAGTTTATGTTCATTTATTTTTAAAGTTGTTTGTTATTGAATCGATTTTGAAGTTTGTAATACGGAGTTTTTAAGGCCCGTTTGAAAGATATACTCAAAACATGATTCTTAATTCTGATGTTTGAAATTTAAATTTTTTGTTAGAGAAAAGTAATGTAGCATAATCAATTATTTGATTTTGAGTATACGAAAAAAACGGGCTCTAAGCTATTTAGATCTATTAATTTTAATTTTTACCTTTTTTATATGGGTAATCTTGATAAATACCTCTTAAAAGTAAATGAGTCAGGACTTTTATATTTTATTCTTGATTTATAATCTTTTTAGTCAAATAATTAGACTAATAAAATGGTATTTATAAAAAATAAAAAGTAAAAGTCCAGACTTATGCACTCTTAAAAGCAAAATTCTTATATATTTTTTCTGCAATAATTTTTACTTTTTTTACAGTAACAGATGAATCATACGGATTAATCGTATTGACGGATTCAATGAACATCCTAAATTCTAATAAATCCCCCTTTTAATTATTCAAAGAAATAAAGCCAAAAAAAAAAAAAAAAACGTTGTTCAAATGAGCGCCTTTAGGCGCTAAACCACACAGTCGGTCAGTGAGAGCCCGGGAAAAGAAAAGCAAAGAATATTCGTGACTTGGCCAAAGCAACGACCCAAGCACATTATCCAGTCCCCACCAAACCAACTAATAATGGCGAGAGCCTCCTTAGGCTCCACACCACTCCTCAAACTCAATCCCTTCCGCCGCCACCCCTCCCGTCTTTCTCTTTCCCGCCGTCCACGTCAGCACCGCCATGCCAGACCACCACTCTTCCCTCGAAATCCTCGGCGGAGCAGCGGGGGCCTCTTTCCTGCCCGCTCTCAAGACCCTCAGCCGCCGCTACAACCCGTTTCCGCTCATTGGCTGGAACCGCCACCTCGAGACCATCTTCGCCGCCTTCTTCCGCTCCGTCCCCGACGTCGCGCTCCGTCGCGAGTGCCTCCGCACCAACGACGACGGCTCCGTCGCCCTCGACTGGGTTTCCGGCGACGATCGCGCCTTGCCGCCCGATTCTCCGCTCCTCATTCTTCTGGTTTGTCGACGTTTCTGTTTGCTTGCCGAGAAAATAAGGCCTTGAATTAAATTGATTATCGGTCAGCCAGTTTGAGTGTATTTCCTTGATTCACGGTTTAGTAAAGCTAAAATGACTCAAATGTGAGGATGTGATTTCTATTCCATAAAAATTCGGCATAAGTCTTTTCTCATTTGCGACTATGTGTTCGCTCGTGTTCTGTTTGGTTGCCGAGAAAATAACAAGAACTAGATAGAGGAAGAATGTGAGCTAAAATATTTTCTAGATTCATGGTTTAGTGAGCTAAAATAGCTGAAAACATGAGAGAATGTGATTTCTTTTTGTACAAATTTTCGACCTAATTCTTTTCTCACTTGCGACTTTGTGTTCCCTTGTGTTCTGTTTGGTTGCCGAGAACATAGCATGTAATACGGGAAACGCCAATCCAAACACATTTCCTAAGTTCATGGTTTTTAGTTACTTGAGTAAGCTAACATGACTAAGCACCTGTTGTGGGATGATTCTATTGGAAAATCAAATCTATGACTGTCTTTTCCATTATTCTTCTTTTGGTCTTAATGAGGGGAGGGAAAAAAAAAAACTTTGAATCAAACGGGTACATTCATCGTTTATCAGAATAAAATGACTCAATTTTTCTCGCTTCGAAAATCATGCTTGACTACTTTTAATGGATGGTTGCAGCCTGGATTGACCGGGGGTAGTGGCGATTCATATGTAAGGCATATGTTGATTAGCGCCAGAAGCAAAGGCTGGCGTGTGGTTGTCTTTAATAGCCGGGGTTGCGGGGAGAGCCCTGTTACTACTCCTCAGGTACTGACATTAGCTCATGAAAGTAATGCATTTCTCTGCTACTCAGAGCTTGAATTATGTTTCTTTGTATTCTGCTTTCGGGCTAGCTTGCGGGGAAGGGTTTACAATGGTCAAATTGATGGTTTTTTATGGGGTTCAGAAGTATTAAGTAATGCCGGGAGCTTTGAATCTAATAAGCCAAAGCATTAAGATACGAAACATTCATCGTTTTTTTTTTTTTTTTTTTTTTTAATCTTGTTTCTTTTTACATCATTTAGCTTGCTTTCATATTATGATCTTGAAGTTTGGTATGGCTTTAAGGTAACTAAGTTTTTGATTATTCTGTAACACTGATATGCAGTTCTATTCAGCTTCATTTTTAGGAGACATGCGTGAAGTAGTTGCACATGTTGGTGCTCGGTATCCAAAAGCTAATTTATATGCTGTTGGTTGGTCTCTCGGTGCAAATATTCTTGTCCGTTATTTGGGGCAGGTAATATGATGGTTTAGCTGCCATCCATTTCCCTTCAATAGAGTCCATATACTGTTGATGACTTCACTTGGAATATGTTGCACTAACATAGTGCGAGTCTAACGCACCATAAATTATCGCTAGTAAGTCTTATGTTTAAGCTTGATGAGGAGATAAGTTCGGCTGCTGTAAAATTCTCTGTCTCTTATTTTTTTTATTTTTTATTTTGGCTTAACAAAGCTCATTAGTGAGTTTATGCTTAACTAATTATGTGGGGTGTTTCTTATAAAAAAAAAAGGGAAAAAAACCAGTAATGCGGGGTTGTTTGCAAAACAAGATTCTCAATATTGGAATACTTAAAATCCTTAGTTTGCATACCTGACATCTAGTAGTAGTATTTACACACACACACGACCTTAAGTATGTTTAAGTTACATAGAAGAATTTAATTTATTTTTTATTTTATCAGTGCAATTATATGATGTTTGAGCTGTATTGTTTTCTATTTTTTTTCTCTTTCATCTATTATGCTTCAGCCTTCTTTTATCAATAATCCTTATTATGATTTGTCAAAAATAATCCTTATTATGTGCTTATGCTACTTGTAGGAATCCCATGCATGTCCTCTTTCTGGTGCTGTGTCGTTGTGTAATCCTTTCAATTTAGTCATTGCAGATGAGGACTTCCGCAAGGGCTTCAACAATGTTTATGACAAAGCTCTTGCAAGAGCTCTCTGCAAAATTTTCAAGAAGTAATTCCATGATCGATTGTTTTTCTTTTGCTGAAATTTAACTCAAATTTAATAAGTCCATTTGTTGATGCTACATTGCAGGCATGCTCTACTCTATGAGGACATAGGTGGTGATTATAACATTCCAATGGCGGCCAATGCCAAGACTGTCAGGGATTTTGATGAAGGACTCACTCGTGGTAAATATTTGTGTACATGAAATCTGCTTTCTTTATGTATTCTACGGTGGCAGTATATCATCTGTTGATCTCATTACATGTTATACCTTGCAGTTTCATTTGGTTTTAAGTCAGTTGATGACTACTACTCTAATTCCAGTAGTTCAGATTCCATTAAAGACGTTTGCAGACCTTTGCTTTGCATCCAGGTAAATAACAGAGTGTTATGTTGCAGAAAGAGCCATTCTTGTCATCCTACATTTTTCTCTCAGTATGATCTTCTGGCTTTAGTGCTAGGTTGACTTCTTGATATAGGTAATTGTATATTTGGCAAAGGATTCTCTATGTAACTGTTGAAAGTAGCTAAGGAGAAATGATCCAGAAGATGGCTTTATAGCTAAAATCCCTAGCTTGTATTCTCTGGTTCCAAATATTCAGGCCTCGAAACCTGATTTTTTTTCCCCCTTCTATTAGATGGAAATTAATTTAATCAGTATAAGGAAGAGACATTACTAATGTTTTCTAGTGATATTTCTTCCTTATCTGCTTATCTGTTGGACTCTTGTTAATATTAGTACTAAGAAGAGAACTGCAGATATGAAAGATTCTGTCCATAAAATAGCCCGGGCCTACAAGTTTCCATTACATGTTTGCGTTTCCCTAATCATATAAAATTCTTTTATGGATTTATGCATCTAGATTTTAAAGTACAAACTTCATAGGTGGTGGAGGTGCATTATTTTAAATGCACAAATGAAGAAATTGAAATTATTTTTCAGGAAAATATCTGCTACAAGCTTAACTAACTTTTCTTAGTGCTTTGCAGGCAGCAAATGATCCCATTGCTCCAAATAGGGGAATTCCCCGTGAAGATATCAAGGTCTGTACTGTATAGCTAATCATCTTTAAACCATAGGGATAGTTTCATATTTCTTGAATTGCGGGCACCCACTTTTTCCGTTCTGATTGGCATCTAACTTGTAAAAATGAACGCTTACTTAAAAAAACAGTGTTTTTATTTTTTTATTTTTTATTTTTTATTTTGGGTGCTGAATGACTTCAAAATCACTTGGCCTGCTACATGACCCTTCCCTCGTTCTCACATGTTAAGGAGGATTTGAAGGAGCATTAAGAGAAGAAATTTCGGGATGTATTGCTATTAATGGCTTTGTCATATCAGTTAATAGATCAGGGTGTATTTTTTCCGTTCCCCTTTATTTCTTTCCCTTTGATCAAATGGTATCAGATGGGGGCTCCTGGTCCACCTAACTATTAATCTTTAATGGTTTTGAGTTTTCACTTCTTAGCAAGTACTTTCATTATCTTTTGTGTGCATGCATGTTTAATCTATTTCTCCGCACACAGGATTTGAAACTTTGTAATTTTATTTTATTTTATTTTTTATTTTTTGGTCTTCAGGAGAATCCAAACTGTTTGTTGATTGTGACACCGGAAGGTGGTCATCTAGGATGGGTTGCAGGTGATCAAGCACCAATTGGAGCACCTTGGACCGATCCCGTGGTCATCGATTTCCTAGAGCATTTGGAAAGAGGAGAATCTAAAGCCGTTTCCTCTTCCAGTAACATACAAGGTTCGGAACAATGTGCAGAGGCTGTACAACACTAAGAAGTGTAGTTAGAGGCAAGTGCTTCATTCTTCATACATACACATAATTGTATGATTCTTTCCATTTTGGTGCTGCTATTGCAGCCCAGCAGGAAATTGCTCATTGGATCCTGTGTTGTCCACAATTTGGATAAACCAACCTAAATGTAATATATGAAAACCAATAAATTTGATTTTATAGTGATGAAAATGGTTTCCCGGTGCTTGTGATGTTTTCTCATGACGCACCCATTTCACACGAAACTTTTCCGCTCTTTCATTATTCGATTTTATCTTGTTTAAGCACGATGTCCTATTTTCTTACACTTGGTAGAGGCCTTTGTAAAAATAACTCTTTTGAAAAGTTTTATTAGTAAAATAACTTTTTAAAAATTTTTATTTACAAAATGACCTCATTTTACAAAGAATGAGTAAATGTCTTTCTTCATGAAAAATAGAAGGTCATTTTACTAATTTCATTTTATTAGAAAGTCATTTCAGCATATTGCCCCACTTGGTATTGACATTCCATCTAATCGAAACCAAGTTGCCACAATTTTCTTCCTTTAATACGAAAATTTCCGGGTGGATAAGGCATGATTCAGAAATCCTTGCGAATTTGAATCTTCTTTGCTAATCCATGATAAAGAAAGAGTCACTCGTTCTTTGTCTTTGTTCCTTGGCCTTGGCCTTGGCAGGCTTTGGTCTATTTTCTTAAAGGGGGTTTTTTGAAAGACAAGTATAGAAACGATGTTTCTGTGGAAAAAGATAAATAGTATAAAATGATAGGTTTTGGTTTCACATTTTCTTCCCACGTTGTTTTGTCTTCCGAGTAAGAATTCAATTCCAATTTTGCCTCTAATCTAGACGCTATTTCAGCTCCCAAACTTGCCAGTTCAAGTTCTACGACAATTTTTCATCTAAAGAAAGACTTTCTTTCTTTGTTATTAAAAGACTCCATAATCATAAAAGACTTGATTATTAAAAGACACGATTATAAATAAAAAATAAAAAAAGACTTGCTTTGGTAATTAAATAATTAAATAAGACTTGCTTTGGTCAAAACATGACTTCTGTTTCAATTAGGATGTGAACAAGCCCTAGTGGCAAGAAGTAAAATAGAAATAACCTAACCCTAAAAAAAATAGATTAAACATCGACTAAATTTGAGGTTGTTATTTGTTAATAGTTATCTTGTACAATCCAATAAGTCTAACGTCACCTCTTTTATCATTTTTTTTATTTAAATAAAAAATAATATAATAAAATTTACATATTGAATAGTAAATGAAAAAAATAATAAAAAAAACAAAAAAAATATAACACTAGTATTTATGTGAGATAAAATATTGATCAACAAAGATCAGTCATCTCACTCCACGTGGCAAAGGGATTGGAATTATCATTTTTTTTTCTTTTAATAACGTCTATGAAAGAGCTAAAGATTTTACTGCGTTAATAGATAAAATCCTTGGACTATGGTGCTAAGAAGATAAGGAAACAAAGGGAGGACCAGGTGACACATGTTTTGTTGATAATAGGCCATCATGATCTGACACAGACCCATTCTATTTTGTTTGTGCATTTTCATGATGTTTAATAGAGCGATTCGTTTCTTGATTCGAATCATGATTTATAATTCGTTATAGTATTTTTTCTCACAAAAAATTCACGTAAATTAAAAATAATTCGAATCACATGATTTAAATTCTCCAACTAAACGTCATCCATGTTAAAATACTTGTGGGGCCCAACATGTCGTGCACTTGTTGAGGAGTAGTCATTCCAATCAGATCATAATTGATTTGAATTTTTATTATTTTATGTAAAAAAAATTTATTATAATAAAAAAATTAAATATAATTATTTTTAAATTTTTTTTATTATAACAAAACCGTAAAATGAATAAAATTATTTAGATATCAGCCAAATAAAAAAAATGTTTTAGATAAAATCACAGGTCACCACTTGGTCTCAATTATCATCCCGACCCCTGCTTCCAAACCAGAAAAGTTCTGTGGGTCCCATGTTTTCATAGCGAAACGTTTATTTCCCAACCTAGATTCTTTTTCATCATTTTTTAAATTGGGTTATTGGCGTGGTTAGTATTAACGAATTTTAATATTTGCATGGATAGAAGTTATATTAGAAACGAATATACAACCACATGTATAGTCACATATCAATTTAAATTAAAATTTTAAATCAGTGAATTAAACGAAATCTCAATATACATATCTTTTTCTTCACAAGATCTTTCTCTCTCTTTTTTATAGCACCAACAATCACGTTTTTCATCATTTTAAAATGTATAATCATATACTCACACATAATAAGACCTCGTTCATTTCACCGATTCGAGTTTTTAGTTTTAAGTTTCTATAATAAAAAGCTCTCAGAAAATGTCACATCTAACTTTTTATACTACAATGAAAAGCTCTCAGAAAATATCACATTTTAACTTGAATTGAAAACTCGAATCCGCAAAGTGAAGAAGACCTAAATAAATTCTCAGATTTTAAAATCTAATGATACAATCTAACCTAAATCTTGTGTTCAATCAAGATGACAATCTCAACTTGCCGACAGTTTAGTTGGCGTTTATGCTGTTTGAATAAAATAAGACGTCACTCCACTATTATCATCCACTCTGGCCAGAGCTTCTTTTTTTTTTTTTTTTTTTTTCTCAATCATATAATATTCTAGGGAGAGAATGTGCTACTTTTTTTTTTCTCTCTTGATAGTAACCATTTTCTTGGGTAGAAACTTTTGGTAACACCCAAAACAATGCCTATTAATGCGGTTCGGTGTTTTTGCATGTGGTCTCTCTCTTTTTTTTTTTTTTTTTTTTTTTTTTTTTTTCAATTAAGCAATGCAGTAGAGAATTGACATAGGTACCTAGAGTCATCATATAAATCTCAATTTATATGTTTATATATTGAGATTATACAATACATCATGACTGGTTATTTAGGTATGTGAAGTTTTTTTTTTTTTTTTTTTGAAGGGTTGTTAAGAGTTAGGTTTTTGTAATTTTAATAATCATAATATAATATTTTTTTTAATATCACTTGACTGGATTGCTAGATTTTTTCCGAGTTTAAAATTTGATGTCGAAAGACAGTCACCTTTATTGTTTCACTAATCAGGATTTGTTATCATTTTAATTTAAAATCTTGAAATCATTATTTAAAAAAAAAAATCTTGAAATCAATATGATAGCTTTTCAGGATAAAACTTTGGACGATGTGACAAATCTGAATTAGTAGGGCAACATAGTAGAAAGATGCTTTGTGACAACAGATTTTTAACTCGTCTTTCCATTAAATATGTGACAAAACATAGTTATGTACATTTAAGTATAGGCAAATACGGTTAATTGATTGGTGAATATATCATCATTTTCTTTTTTATTAATTAAGTATTTAAGTATTAATTGATATCATAATTGTTAGTGGTTTTTGGTGTCGACATTTGGAAGTATACATACACATGGCACAGAAAGAGAGGTAGATAAACATTCCAATTAGACAGGAAAGATGGAGATGGCTTGACATATACATACATACACACATATATATAACAAATGTTGACTAGGAAAATCATGGAATTCTCATTTTCTGTGGTGGGTTCTGCCTTATCCTTTGATTGATAAAGGTCATGTGATTTGGATTATATATGATAATATATATTATTAAGACCCAGAGGAGACTTTTCCACTTTATTTCATGCTCACGAATGAATTAGATCTATAATATATCCAAGACTATGACCCGTGTCTAATATTATATTATTTTCTGAAATCTAACTTCCTTTTTTTTTTTTTTTTTCTTTGAGTATGCCCTTAATTTTTTTCCCCATATTCTGGAGAAAAAGAAAACACTATATGTATATATCCAAGTTATGAGGTAAATTCCTAGGGTGACAAAGGGATCCCAACTTTTGATCATAACGTTACTTTTGTACCCACATAAAATCAAGTTCCAATGAATTTGGATATGTCATTGTTCAACATATCGAAAACTCCAAAAATCGCTAGGCAAATTGGAATTTAATTGAGAGTTCTATTTTGCTTCTTCAATTTTTATTTATTTATTTTTTGGTCCCGCGTATATTATTTTGAGAATATAAAAGTTGAAATGTTCCTCTTGATATGTGTGGATCATGTGGCTTTCGCAAAAAGGAATACCACTAACGAAATTGTGTAAGGCCAAAAACAATATGATCATCCCCTAGCTCCATGAAAAGAAAAAAAAAAGAAAAAAAATCAATGCACGTCATTAGTTACATGGACTTTTTTTTTTTTTTTCCATATCCACTTTTAAGAAATTTCAAAAACATACACATGCACGTCATTAGGTACATGGACAACTTTTCTTTCATCCATTTTAAGAAATTTCACAAATAAACACACGTATATAGGTTTTCTAATTTCTACCACCTAAAAAGTTCCGCGCCATGTGAAAATTTGACGTATGAAATTGAAATGCTTTGGCTAGCTGTTGTGGGTATCAAATGATCATGTCCTCAATTAATTAGTTTAATATATTAACATACCGTTCAGTTTGCTCTAAGAAAGCTGCTTTTTTTTTTTAAATAAAGGAAGAAATTTGAGTGAAGGGAAGGTAATTGTTTTGTCGTATATAAACTATATGTTAAATTTATATACATGGAAAAAAATGAAAAAAAAAAACTGTATTATTTATAGAATTTTTTTAGGGTAAGATTGTATTTAAAATTAAAGAAATATACACACTTATACTTATGTAAATGATCTTGTAATACAAGGAAGCTTAATCTCGATCACAAACAAGTTGTCAGAAAAACATATCCGGGCACGTATGCGGAAGCATTTCGGTAGTGTCGTGTCAGAACTCCGATTTGGCACCGGTTCAAGAATCATCACGGGAAGCCCCACGATATTCCATCATCACTAGCACAATCTCTACGCTCCTAGCCACAATCACCCTTGAACACAATAATTATCACGTCTTCAATTGCTCACGGTGTATGATTGTTACAAAGGTATAATTTGAACAATCACGATTAATCCGCAGTCCAATAACCCTCTTGAGAAACCAACATGCATAAGAAAGAAGGAAGGAGAGCGGAGAAGTGAGGACGAGAAAAAAATATCACGTATATGATAATTATTGAGTTATTCTCAATCTCAAAGACATGTGGTGATATGGTCCTTATTTAAAGGACCAACGTCAGTTATGAGCAGTGACGGAGCTATTTGAAGATAAGCGGGGGCAGCCGCTCTCACTCAAATTTTTTTTTTAAAAATATTACCTTTAAAAATTTAAAAATTTTACATTTAAAGCTCCATTGAAATAATATATGCCCCCTTACTAAAATAAATATATTTTCTTATATGCCCCCACTAAGATAATTTGTTAAAAAAATTTAATGTACGCCCCCACTGAAGTGAAAGACTGACTCCACCACTAGTTATGAGTATCCTAGATAACCCGTTAACCCACTAACTTAGGGATTATTTATTTAATTCAAATAAATTTCAATTAAATAAATAATGTCACATAGGTCAAGTTCACTATGGGCGCCTAATTGGGTTTTTTTATTAGAAGAAAAAGGCACAAATTCAATAACTATATTAATTAAAAGGATAATAATAAACAAAAATAAGTTCTAACATTTTTCTTAGAATATTATTATGTTAGAATTATATCGTGGGGAATGACGCATAAATAGAAATTGCAATGATCTTTCCATCTCGGTGGGCCCATTATACCCATGAACAAATGGAAACACTTGTTCGGCTTTCACGAAAAATGAAAACCAACTTTATGGGAAATTGCCACTCCTAATCAATCACGATCAGATTTTTATTTAGCAAAAAAAAAAAATACATAAAGAATTTTAAAGGAAATTAAATCTGCAGTTCTTTAATAATTTGAGTAGGTAAATTAAATCTGAAGGTAATAAATCTGTAATTTGAGTTAGTAAATTTACTAATTCCGTGTTGCCTCTTGCATATTAACATAATTTTTTTTCTCACTTACAAGTATCGTGCGTGCTTACACACGTTTTAATATCCATTCGACATCCCTTTCAGGAAAAGGCGGTTCCTAATTTACTAAAAATAAAAGCACGATAGTGACTATTTTCTTATTCTTTCAAATTTTTGTATTTGATATAAATTTGGTATATCCAAAATTCAAAAGGGTCAAAGAAGTACTAGATCACATATCTTATTTGTTTTCTATATATATATATATATATATCTTGATTATATTAACAGTGTAATACCCTTCACATCGCTATACAATGAAATATCAGTATTCAATATAAAATGATTTTAAAAATCTCCATTAATTAACTTGTCGTTTTTTTTTCTACACTATTTAATTGCCAAAACTCACATAGAAGTAATAATTAATGCTGTAAAATTCGTCAGCATATTAAGCAATTTCCTAATAAGATTAATTCCAGAAATTTGAAGGCAAACAGATATCCTTCATGACGTAAAATTAAAGAGTTTTGCAAGCAACTACTAATGCAATTTTACTCTATTTGTTGACCAAAATGGCAAAACTAACATATAAGATTTATGTGAAACGGCTTCATATAAGTTGCCGACAAGTAAAGCAAAATTCTATCACAATCTTCCTGTTTTGATCCCATAATAAGAGACTAAAGAGAATATGGTAGTTTTTATAGGATAGAATATAGATATTAAACCACAAATAGATGAAAAAGGAAAAAAAATTACGTAAAAAAAAAAAAGCAGAAAATTTTCGTATTGAAAAGGAAACTCTAGAATCTTCTTCTTCTTCTCCTTCTTTTTGCCTTTTTCTTGGGAGGAGGAAAGTCGAAATTTGAGGAGGAAAAAAAAAAAAAGAAAGAGAAAAAGGAGAGAGATTTTAGGACTTATTTACAAATTTGATTTTTGCAATTTTTCCCGTATTTAGTTGTTATTATCATAGTACACTCTTTTGAGTATTTATGGTCCGTTCACTTAGCTGATTTGAGTTTATAATTTAAATTGAGCTGTGATTTTATGTGAAAATTTTTTACTATAGCAAAAAAATTAGATGTGACTGTTTCTGAGAACTTTTTACTGTAACAAAATTTAAATTCTAAATTTGAATTGACGAAGTGAACGGAGCCTTAATCTGTTTTTTTTTTTTTGTTTTGTTTTCACCACAAGGACATAGCAGATTCTAATTTTGAGGTAGACCATCAATACTAACATCAGGACCAGATTCACTGTATATACCCTTTCATTTTTTCCCCGTGAGAATCGTATACACTCTGAGTAATAAATTAAACAGATAGAAAACATAAAGAAGCCAAATTTTATATATCTCAAAAAAAAAAAAAAAAAGAAGCCAACTTCCCCTGAAAAAAGAGAGAAAAAAAAACAAACAAAAAAGGAGAGATATTCTCAATAGAATTCGAAACCAATTAAGATTACGTACATACATGAACCTTAAAACTCATCGTTTTACATATAAAAATTTAATATTACGTCAATGTCCAGTTATTTTTAAAAAAAATTTGTAATTGATTAATTCTCGCATTTTCAAAGTCCTCTAAAAAAAGAATTTTGAATTCATTTAGAGGAAGAGGTAGATAAGATATCTGATTTTCTAATATATATATTTGTGATAATCACATAATGTTTCCCTATATATACCTAGCCAAACCCCCTCCAATCCACCTCTAATCTCTCCCTCTCAAACTCTCTCTCTTCGCAAACCTTTAAATCCAAAACTCGCTCAAACTTTCTCTCTCTTCGCCAACTTCAAATCCAAAACTCTCTCTCTCAAAACCAATCATGGCCGAAACCAAGACCCCGACCGTCCTCCCCTTCCCAAACAGCAAGAAGCGACCCGCCACGACCCACGACGGCGACGCCGCCGCTGCAAAAAAAGCGTCAATGCTATTCTCGGGTGAGTCGGACCCGGCGGCGGCGCTGGCTGCGGCGCGTCACGAGTTCGGCGAGCACGGCGGCGTTAACATGTCGATCGAGGCGTCGGCGACGTTCACGGTGATGGAACCGGAGACGATGCGGCGCATGTTCTCCGGCGAGCTCGGCCCCGACCGTGACTTCTTCATCTACAGCCGCCACTTCAACCCCACCGTCCTCAGTCTCGGCCGCCAGATGGCCGCCCTCGAGGGCACCGAGGCCGCCTACTGCACCGCCAGCGGCATGTCCGCCATCTCTGCCGTCCTCATGCAGCTCCTCAGCTCCGGCCAAAACATCGTCGCTTCACAGACCCTCTACGGCGGGACCCACGCCCTCCTCACCCACTTTCTCCCCCGTGTCTCCAACATTACGACGACGTTTGTTGACATAAACGACATCAACATGGTCGACAACGCGCTCGTCGCGGGTGAAAGCAAGGTGTTGTACTTCGAGAGCGTGTCCAATCCGACGTTGACGGTGGCTAACATCCCGGAGCTGTCGCGTGTGGGGCACGCGAAGGGCGTGACAGTGGTCGTCGACAACACCTTCTCGCCGATGGTCCTCTCGCCCGCTCGGCTCGGCGCAGATGTCGTTGTTCATAGTATCTCCAAGTTCATCAGCGGTGGGGCCGACATTATTGCAGGTATATTCCTACTATCTATATATCTATCTAGATGTGATTAGCAAAAAAATCAATCTATCTATATGTATGTATGTATAATTTTATATATGTACATAAATGTATTCGTGAATTTGTGAAATTTTTTGTATAATTATGCATAATATAAATTTGAACTGTTTATCAGGTGAAATTTTTAATTATTGGAAAAAGGAAATATATGGTGTAATTTAACCCAAACAAAAAGGAACACATATGCTTTGGGATTAATTCTTAAAAAAATCTTCTTAAAAAAATGTGTTTAATCGGGAGCAGTATAAACGCTCCCGATTAAACATCTTTGATCAATTCAGCAGAATTAAAAAAAAAACTTTTATTAGCTTATTAATATTAATTAATTTAGTTTTTGTTGTATCCTTTTCTGCGACCGCACACGTGTGAGGGTCATTAGCTCCTCAACAGTGGGGAAATTTAACCTGGTGTGTTGTTAAAGTAACACGTGTGCATAATTGTGAGTGATGGAATCTGGAACGTTGGTTTTCAGATTCTGGTGAAACTGATAAGACTTTTGTCTGATCATATCACGTGGTTGTAGCCGTAGTTAAGCTTTTCTCTTTCTCCGTTTGGGTGATCATATGTACGCGCGACACGTGTTTTTGGATTGGTGTGGTTGATTTTCTTTCTCATCTCGTGAAATGATCCTGTTTTGATCCACTTGGACTACATGCAGAGGAGTGTCCAAAGTAGTTCACTGTTTTTGTTTCCTTTAATTCCTGGGATTTTCACTGGTAGTTTATTTTTATTACTTTTTACCCGTTACTTTTGTATTATAATATATTTTTTTTATATTTTTTTTAATTTAACGTGATTTAATTAGATTTAACAGTTAAAAATTAAGATTATTATTGGTAAGACGTAGTACTAAAGAAACTCTATAATTCTTGATATCTTTTCGCACGTGTTTCTAACTTTTAATTATGTGTTTGATTGTTGATAAAGATGTGTTGGTGAATGGTGGTGGGATAGATATTGTTTTTGATTGCCGATAAGATGTGTTGGTGAATGGTGGTGGGATAGATATTGTTTCTTTGCCTATAAGCTATAACTGTTGTATGACTTTTTAACACTACTATGAAAACAAAAATAAATAAAGCTGTAACCAAAGTTTTAGTTTATGTTATAATTATGTACGATTTAATGTTAATCTAGTACTAAATGATGAGCTAAAGTTCCTTTAAAAATAGAAGATAGGCATGAATTATCTTTTCCCAATTAACTTTTAACCTTTTTGACTCATGTTATTGTCAATTATATATCTAAATAATAAGGAAGCTTTGTTTTCACTTTTAGCGAACTATATATATATAGAAGATCACTTTGTTGTGATCGTTATCTGCTTGGTCATCTTCCTATTCAAGAAGATGTTACCCACCAGAAAATGTTTCTTTTTTCCAATAATTGTGGCGTTTTTCCTATATTATCGCTTTTGATATATATATTTTTTTCTTTTTTAAATAGAATTAATGTATTTTATCTTGAAAATTAACTTCTATAATGCCATGACCTTTTTACCCTTTTAAACCTTTATTTGAGCTTTTCAAACACCAAAAGTCAAACTAAACTAGTAAAACTGCCTTGACACGTAAAATTCATTGCTTGTGATTTTTGTTCTTTCGATCTGATCGAAAAAACCTAACAATTTATTTGACACATGAAACAGGTGCCATATGTGGGTCCGCCAGCCTGGTGAACTCTATGATGGACCTCCACCAAGGAACACTAATGCTTCTAGGCCCAACAATGAACGCCAAAGTGGCCTTTGAGCTCTCAGAGAGAATACCCCACTTGGCCCCAAGAATGAAAGAACACTCCAAGAGGGCCTTGGCATTGGCCCAAAGGATGAAGAAAATGGGCCTGAAAGTCATATACCCGGGCCTGGAAGACCACCCGCAACACAAAATCCTCAAGTCCATGGCCAACAAAGAGTACGGCTACGGAGGGCTCCTCTGCTTGGACATGGAAACAGAGGAGAGAGCAAACCGGTTGATGAACCTCTTACAGAACTACTCTCAGTTTGGTTTTATGGCCGTGAGCTTGGGATACTCCGAAACCTTAATGTCGTGTTCGGGAAGTAGCACTAGCAGTGAGCTGAGCAACGAGGAGAAACAGCTTGCTGGGATTTCTCCCGGGTTGGTCAGAATGTCGGTTGGATATGTTGGGACTTTGGAGCAGAAATGGAGTCAGTTTGAGAAGGCCATTTCTAGATTGCAGGATTCCGGTCTCTTCAACAAGAACTGATTATCATCACCATGATGATGATGCAAGTGTTGGTACTCTTTAAGTGTGTTTATATAGTGGGGAGTTGTTTTTTTTTTTTTTTTTTTTCTTTCTTTCTTTCTTTCTTAAATATGTGGATTAATATATAATAGTGGCTATATTTGTTGGACCTTAATTTTCCTTTGCTATATATTTTCCCCCCCTTTCTGTTTTTTTTCAGAATAATGGAGATACGTATTGACTTGAATGACTTCGCAATATAAGAAAACGTAACTCAGAGCACAAATAAATTTTAATAACATCCATTAAAGGACATATACATGAACCGAGTTCTGATTAAGAGCCCGTTTGGTTCATGGATTAGAATCATGAGATTATAATTATTTTTGATTTACGTGTATTTTTTGTGAGAAAAAATATTGTAACAAACCATGAACCATGATTCAAATCAGAGAATGAATCTTCCAACCAAACGGACTCTTAATATCTAAGTCGTGTAATTACGTTAGGTTTTAGGTCAACGTGGGCTATATATGCATACACTTAGTGGCACTTAAATTATTAAGTTAAATGTTTGATGTGTACGCATCAAAACTGCTGATGAGAGAGCAAAAAACTCCGTGGCGATCTTGAACAATATGGAAAAGTGTGATTATATATTTAAAACTCGAATTAAAAATTTGAATCAACGAACTAAACAAGCCTTAAGTTGGTTAAGAATCATTTACTTTGATTGGAAAGCTATTCCTTTTTCTCCAAATTTGGCGGAATTGACGTTATCAGAAGGTGAGAGATTAGGTGGACGTTTGGTTCATGGATTCAGAACCACAATTCAAAATCATTCTCATTTTATGCGTATTTTTTGTGAGAGAAAAACATTGTAGAGAATTATAAATTATAATTCAGAATCAATGACGAATATAAGAAACAAACACCCATATTTTATATTGTACTCATTAGGGATTTGAGTTCCATCCTCAAAGGTTGAGAGAAGTTATAATTTTATTGTACTCATTAGGGATTTAAATTCCATCCTCAAGAGTTGCATCTAAGAGGTATTAGTTTATTAGGAGTAGGTCAAGCCATTTAAACGTATAACATTTTTGTATCTAATCAACATGAAAATTTTCCGCCTTGAACAAGCCCTATTAAATATATTACTCATTTTATATAGCCAACGTGAAACTTTTGTTTGTACACTCCCAACATGTTCATTCAAAATTTATAACAATGTGCCATAATTAAATATATTGGTTGGATATGAATTGCGATGGTCTAAGAATCCAATCTTTACTTGTGTTACAAATAACACAATTAATTGACGAGTCTGATCTTGAGTTATATATCCCGTTGGATATGAATTGCGATGGTCTAAGAATCCAATCTTTACTTGTGTTACAAATAACACAATTAATTGATGAGTCTGATCTTGAGTTATATATCCCGTTGATCAATTAACCTCATAGTGATATAAAATTAAAACCTAACGTTTAGTAGAATCACTCATAAAGACATCAATTTCTTATCGATACTTTTATGAGACACATTAAGGCTCATTAGTCAGTATCGAAAACTTTATGTAGAATTGAACATTGTTGTACACCTCAATCTAATATATTTCATGAGATTCTCATTTTAGCCGAAACTAAGAAAAAAAGAAACGAATAATGGGAGAATGGGATTTCATATTGCCCGAACAAAAAACATTATTAGGAAAATCCCTCTCTAACTCAGTTTACTAAAACATAAATCTTTTCTTAGTACTCTAATCAACTTTTTAACATTTAAAAAAGAGTATTGCTAAGAACACTAATTTAAATATCAATTTTTGTGTACTAACTGGCGTGACATGCCAATTGTCATTTTTTATTAATAAATACAATCTCTTATCATTAATCAATGTAAAAATATTTTAAATATTCACTAATGTAAAAATAATAACTCATATGTCACGTCAATTCACATATAAAAATTAAAATTTAAGTTAGTGTCCATAATATTTTTCTTTAAAAAAATACTTACAATAAGAATTCCCCGAGGTTAGCTGCCCCTGTAACCATTTTTCTTCATGAAAAAAATGATTTAATTTACTCAAAATTATTGCGTGGTTTATTGCCCATAAGCAACTTCCCAGGCATATCTGGGCTCAAGACTTTTATCAGGGCTAATTTGAAGGCCACATTAGCCCAAATTCTGATGGGTCCAGTTTCAGAAAGCCTGGAAGCCTACTTCAGGCCACATCTCTGAAAATTTATGGGCCGGATTTTATGGGTCAAGACCTCAAATAAAAGAGACGTACTCAACTTGGTTTTGATATTACAATTACATGCCCAAATTCTTAACACCTGTCTACTTTGTTTCAGAATAATTTGTGCACTATTATCACCTGGTAGTAGATAAAAGAATACCTAGAAATTATGTTACAACATTAATTTCAAATTACAGTACTAGTTAGTATTTCTTCTGCTTAATTTATCTTTCATATATGCAAAGGGGATGTTAATTGCAGCTATTCCATATAATCACTTTCAATTAGTTAACGTAATTAACTAGTGAAGCAAATAAGCAAGTGCCAGCTGATTCTTCTAGTATCCATGCCTTGTCCATTGTATTTATGCCCCAACCAAAGATTTTGTTCCAATCTGCACCATTGCTCGTTCCATTGTTTTCCGTTGAAATTATGCCTTAACCAAAAAATTTCTTCCAACTTTTCCAAATTTGTCCCCCTAAAAATTTCTAATTTCAAATTCTATAGAGAACTTGTCTTTTAAAATTTCAGTTACGCCCCTCATTGGTACTTGGTAGTAATAGTTTTGATTTTACTCCATTGGTTCAAATTTTAAAATCCAAATACCCCAAAACCAACTGGAATACTACTTAACTCCATAAAAGTTTTGATCTTCAACTTTTTGAACTTAATAATTAAACTCAATTACATACTTGATATATTTAGATTAAAGGAAGGAATATATACACATATATACATATATATATATATATATAATCCAAATACCCCAAAACCAACTGGAATACTACTTAACTCCATAAAAGTTTTGATCTTCAACTTTTTGAACTTAATAATTAAACTCAATTACATACTTGATATATTTAGATTAAAGGAAGGAATATATACACATATATACATATATATATATATATATATATATATATATATATTGAGAGTGTGAG